CGGCTTGAACGGTAGGTCGTGCTACAGGTAGATGGACGGCGCTCCTTGGAGGCAGAAGCGCTCCTGTGCAGCCGTCTTAGATCTTGGCCTCCCCTGGTGGTTGCTGGCGGCGCTGCTGGTAGTTTGGCCGGCGTATATCGGCCAGAGGCGGGCGTTGAAGAAACGGCAGGAGTCGGTAGAAGGCGGGCTGAAGCAGCTGGAGGCTGGCCGAAGAAGCTGGAGACCAGGCGCAGTCCCACCGATGAGGTTGCGAGAACGTGTATAGTAGTATAGTATTGAAGTTAGGAAGTTATTTAAAGAGCCAATAGGTGCTAAAAGCTTTGAGGTCTTTCTTGAGTCCCGGGGCAGTCGGCCCCGGGACAAGGCCTTTTATTAATTTAGAGCTCGGTAGCGAGCTTTCAAAAGTTGAGTAGGCAACTTTTGCCGTAGAATTGAATAAATGATCAGGGAGGCTCGGCCTTTTATAGGTCCGGAACCATTTGAATTTAGACACGGTTCGAATCGAGCCAAAAAGAATCAAAGTAAGTGGTCTGTGGAGGTTGAATAGTCATAGACGTAGTTGGAGAGAGTATCCGTGTCATGGGTAGCCATGGCAACGGATAAAAAACATTAGGTTGTCATAAAATGTCAATAAAATAAATAAATTAAATATAGATAAAATCAAAGCATAATAAGTGAAAACAAGTAAATAACAGAATAAAGAGAAATGCCGGTAAGTGTCCAGCACTCTGGAATAGTGATTTTCAGTACAGAAGAAATTATTATACGTATTTACAAAGTGATGAATAGTGTGTGATATTTTTGAAATTATGTGTTTCCAGGAATAAATGATAAAATATATGATGATGCCTGATGAATATCGATGATGTTATATGATAAAATGTGCGAAATGGAACCTATGATAATTGAAACCATGAGTCGAAACCATATTAAGGTACGTTACATTTTCCCCCACAACCCCAGAAAATTTTCGACTAGAGAAAATTTTGCTTAAAGAAAAGGCCAAAAGAGATCCGAGGAACACTACTTCGCAGAAACATACAACCATTCATACAAATACACATTCCTCTTCTATCATACCTCAACTTCATACAGGTAAGGGTGGAGTTCACGATCAATGACTGCCACTCTAGAAGGGTGTTCCTTAATAACGACAGGCTTATTTAGGGAGTTGTCAACCGCTCCATAAGTGGAAAAAAAAATATTGACCTAGGCTTCTTTTAGGAGTAATCAACCGCTCCGACCTAAGGCTTGTTTAACGAGTTGTCAGCCGCTCGGACCTAAGGCTTCTTTAACGAGTAGTCAGCCGCTCGGAAAGAAGTATCATTTAGTACTTAAGAATGTAGGGTTAAGGTAGAGAAGACCATTAGGGTAGTCTTAGGTAAAGGTTAAAGTAAAGGCTTTAGTTGCCTTTAAAGAGGTTAAGTAAGGTAGAGCACTGGAGAAAAGTACTCTATAGAAAAATAGAGGTAAATTTTAAAGGTTAACGTCTTTTATAGACGTTGAGAGAGCTTAAGAGCTTTAGGGTAAACAAAAAAAATATTAAATTTAGAGATTATGATTTGAGTGATAAATGATTGAATGGTTATGAATGAATTAATGCGGTGAACGAGGTATGAGTTTTAGATTTTAATGTCTTTGATATGCCATTTAGCTTTAGAGCCATTGGTATCTTCTAATATATACACTAAAGGTGAGATTTTCTTAAAAACTTTACATTTAAGAAATTTAGGCGCGAGCTTAGCGCTAAAGTAAGAACCTGCATTACTTTGCACATAGTTCTTTCGCCAAACCATATCGCCGACATTAAATTCTTTGAATGAGCGACGTAGGTTATAGCGTGCACTGTTTTTAGCGTGAGCAAGGTATAAGGTAGTTTGAACTTTGTCGAAAATAGATGAGAGGAATCCAGCATTTTCAGAGTAAATATCGCGAGGTAGAAAGGTAACTTCTTCGATACTTCGAGCTGAGGTATAAAAAGAGCCGCAGGGAATTGTTTCACGACCAAATACCAAAAAGTTAGGCGTATAACCAGTTATGGAGTTCACACAACTGTTCAACGCCTGTTGGATTTTAGGGAGGTGATTATCCCACTTCCTATGGTCATCACCTACGAGGGCAGCTAAAGCAGTAATAATTGTTCTGTTGTACCTTTCAGTAGGGTTTACTTGAGGACAATAGAATGGAGAATGAAATATAAAAGGAATTTTATATTTTTTTAAGAAGGAAATGAATTCACGAGACTGGAATTGGGGTCCGTTGTCCATAATAATGGTCTGAGGGACACCATGTGTCAGAAAAACCGAGTTCTCAAGAGAAGAGATTACATTAGGCGTGGTAGCACGCTTAAGGGGAAAGATTAAAGTATATTTAGTAAAAAAGCAGTTAATAACTAAGATGTATTGATTACGATTTCTAGTCATGGGTAATGGACCCATAAGATCAAGCGATATAGTCTGGAAGGGCCTAGAGCAAATTTTTGGTTTGCCCATTGGTCCGTAAGGTGAATGGTTTGGATGTTTATACGCCAGGCATGTGTCGCAGTTAGAGATAAATCTGGCAATGTCCTTAAACATACCAGACCAGTAATATCGTAATGAAAGTTTTTTGTAAGTTTTAAAGATACCTAGGTGAGGTTCAAGTTCAGAGCCATGGTTAGTTTCGATGAGCCTACATCTTTCATGAGGTAAAGGAACTTCTTTCCAAATGAAATCATCATTGAGGCTATTTGGAGAATGAATACAACGATAAAGCTTGTTGTCTTTAATAGTATAATTCGGGTAGGAGTCAGGGTTATTTTGACATCCGAGCAAAATTTTGTTGTAGTGATCCAAATCACGATTAGGGGATGAAACTTCTGTGGAAATTGGAAGTACACCTTGAGGTGGCGAATCTGCAAAGTCTTTAGGTTTAGATCTAGATAATAGATCTGGAACAATATTATCTTTGCCTTTCTTATGTTTCAGGACAAAGTTAAAGCAAGATAAACGTAAAGTCCAACGAGCAAGTCTTCCTGAGGGATTAGATAAATTTAGGAACCACTTAAGGGCTGCGTGATCAGTATAAATGGTAAATTGTTTACCATTGTCGAGATAGCAACGCCAGTGTTCAAGAGCAGTTATAACGGCCAAGGTTTCCCTTTCCGTAGTTGAGTAGTTTTGTTGGTTTTTATTAAGCGATTTGCTCATGTAGGCAATAACGACTTCTTTGTCGTTTTGAAGTTGAGTAAGCATTGCTCCTATACCATAATTAGATGCATCGCAATGAACAGAAAATGGTAGGTTAAAGTCTGGGCAAGCGAGCACAGGGGTAGTGACGAGAGCTTCTTTTAGTTTCTGAAACGCAGTTTCAGCTTCAGGGTTCCAAGAAAACTTGGGAGCATTAACTCCTGAGCAAGTTAATTTGTTAAGAGGAGCAGCAATAGTACTGAAATTCGGAATAAATCTTCGGAACCAACTACAGGTGCCGATGAACCTACGAACTTCTTTTTTAGAGGATGGTGTAGGATATTCCAGAATAGAGCGGATTTTGTCGGGATCAGCTCGTAGTCCAAATTCATCTACGATAAAGCCAAGATATTTAAGTTCATTTCTAAAGAATTGAGATTTTTCGAAATTTATAGTTAAGTTCGCAAATGAAAGTTTTTCATAGACTTTTAAGAGTAGAGCGATATGCTCGTCGAATGTTTCACTTATTACGACAATGTCATCGAGATAACAGAAGACTTTGTTGTCAAAATCAGGGGTAAATAACATATCCATAAGTCTCTGTTGAGTAGCAGGGGAGTTAGTTAAACCGAAGGGCATTACTTTAAATCTGTACATTCCTCTGCCTGGAACGTAGAATGCAGTCTTGTCTTTGTCTGCCGGGTTAAGAGGAGTCTCCCAAAAAGCTTTGGCAATGTCAATACTAGACAGGTATTTGGCATTCCTAAGGTTATCTAAGATCTCGCTTATAAGGGGAAGGTTATATGCGTCACGACGAGTAACAGAGTTCAGTTTCCTGCTGTCGACGCAGAAACGCCATTCACCATTTTTCTTGGGAGTAATAATCACTGGGGATAGCCAAGGGCTTTCACAGGGTTCAATTACGTCCCATTCAAGCATTTTATCCACCTCATTAACTAATGCTTTTTGTTTTTCAGGGGATAATCTATAGCATCTTTGTTTGATAGGAAGGGAATCGCCAGTGTCGATTTTGTGAGTTATCAGATGAGTACGTCCCAGTACTCCTTTTTCCTCAAATGAGATACCTTTTAAGCGATTGATAATGCTATCGGCTATTTCCTTCTGGTCTTTAGTAAGATGGTCATAAGGAAGTACTTTTTTGTCATCGTTCTGAATAGATGAGCATTTGAGGGTTGAGAGACCAGCTGAAGATAGTAAAGAAGGTAGCAAATTAAATTTGTTCCAAAAATCAATGCCAAGGATAAGGGAAGGAAAAAGTTCAGGAAAAGCATAAGCTTTAATTATATGAGTCTGCTCATTGAAGAACATTGGTACTTCAAAATAGCCCAATGATTTAATTCTTTGTTGGCTAGCAGTTGAGATAGAAATACAATCTGACTTGAAAAGTTTGAAGCCAAGTTTAAGAATTTCCAGATGGGAATTATTGCCGAAAATGGTAACTGAACTACCAGAGTCCAGAAGACCAGACATGTTTAGATTGTTAATTCGAACATTAATGAAAGGGCGTTTGGAATCTTTCTCATTAGAATAGAATGTAGAAGAGATTTTATAGCAAGAAAAGAAATTTTTAAGTGTTGAAAGCCAAGTATTCCAATCGTTAATGTCGAATTTAGGAGAGCTTTTCAAGTCAATAATTAGTTTTTTTGAACTAGTATTAGGTTTAGGGTTACATTTAGGACAGTCTGCGGTTTTAAAACCTTTCAACCCGCACTTGAAGCAAATGATGAAGCGAGGTTGAGAGCAGGGGGTTCAATCTTAGTACAATTGTTCAGGCCTCATATTGAATATAACATAGTAAAATTCGTAAGCTTGTTGACTTTCAATATATTGGACGAAACATAGTAATATTTTATTTTATCGTATTATAATAATGAGTCTCTAACTACGACGTCCAGGTGGCAGCTTATTGCGAAGAAATTCATTTTTTTTTCAATAGATGTCGCTAGGTGCGCTTAAAAGTGATGTCATGTAAACTAAAATTTTACTATTTTAGTAGAAATTTAAAGTTCTGTAATGTGTATCTTATTTTTGATGCGTTTATTATTTTTTACTTAATTTAAAGTTTCATCAATAAATAATTTGATTGTATAACAAATTGCTAATTTAATAATTTACAAAGTTGGATTTTTGATGCTATTTCGTCGAGGGTGGTTTCCGACCTTTTTAAATATTCACGGATTGAATCATAGTGTAGTGATGTTATACAAAACTGGTGTTATTTTGTGTTTTTTAGTTATTAACGGCTGCGAAATTTTGTTATTAGTACTTTTTTTTTAATTTTTCAGTACTTTTTTTAAACGCATTGACCTGGCAATACTAAAATAAAATGTCAGTCAAATTGATACTGTCGTATGCGCCGGTATCGATTTGTTTGCTGTAACTTTGTATTATTTCTGTATTTTCTGTGATCCACACTGTATTTTCGTTGAGTTGAGCTTAGGTTCCTCCGAATATTTCACGCCTGTGACCAGAAATACTTTTCGCCCGTTGCGAATAACAAAACTGAGCTAAGACTCCTTGTGATTTTAAGTGTGTGTTTGTACTTGCAAAGTAGGATTAGGATTTCCCTGATTCTCATCATGTCTTCAGACAAACACTGTTGTGTTCCTGGATGTAAGGAAAGTGGAGGTACGTTTAAGTTTATCGTTAAATGTTCATAAATAACTCTTTTGTTGTGTTACAGTTACAAACTTAGTAAAGTCCAAAACTGGGAAAGTCCATTATATACCTAAGGTTTTACTGAAAAGTATTGAACTGAACGTGATGAACACTTGTATTTTCATAATGTATTACATTCTGCATATAAATAATGTTTAACATTAGAATAGATAACTATAACATAGATAACTCTTTTGTTGTGTTACAGTTACAAACTCAGTAAAGTCCAAAACTGGGAAAGTCCATTATATACCTAAGGTTTTACTGAAAAGTATTGAACTGAACGTGATGAACACTTGTATTTTCATAATGTATTACATTCTGCATATAAATAATGTTTAACATTAGAATTAGTTATTATTAAAATAATCGTTTTTATCGTTTACTGAACATTTTGGCAATGTGGACTTTACCAACTTTGATTGTATACCCCTCATATGTCAACATTTAATAGTAAACTAATTCCCATGGATTTATTTTGCTACTTTTCTGGTTACATTTTTATTTAGTAATTCTATAACAAGCCTATATATATTAATCATTCACTGCTTTATAAATAAACAACTATCATGTAAAAAAAATTAAATTATTGCCATTTCTTTTTAAGGTTCGCACAAAGTTCTTCATGGGTTTCCCAACCCAAAAGATGATAAACATCGATTTAATATGTGGTTATATGCTATCGGCTCCAGTATCTTGGGCTTAGAGAATGAACGCATTCATAAGTATCGACGTGTGTGTCGTTCTCACTTTGCTGAAAAGTACCTATGCCGCAATAACCGACTCAGTAAAACTGCTGTGCCAACACTGAACATGCCAGGTTGGTTAATGTGAAATTTTATTTGTTAAATGAAATTAAAATTTTGCTTTTATTAATGTGAGATTATAATTTGTTGATACAATGTTAGATAATATCATTGATAATATAATTGATCTTTATTCCAGGCTTGACATTAAACATACAGGATACATTAACTGAACAAAGACCTATGCGAAAAGTTTTGACAGCTTTGCAACCATCAACGTCTAAAGGTATTTCTAATAGTTTATTAATTTAATTCATATATTTCTTATATTTCATGTTTACTGCTGAGACTGCTGTCATATTTACAGCCCTAACTGAAATAAATGAAAAGGCAGTTTTTTTGTTTGTTACTCCTGAAATAATATTGGGTTTCTGCTGAATTCTCAAACAACTAAAGTCAACGCAGATAAACTCGCAAGCGGCCGCTAGTAGTAAATATAAACACTCATTTACCGTGCTAGCCCTATACAAATGGGTTTGTGACATTTTTGTTAGGGATAGAAATCAAAGTCATGGACAAACACTGAAATTAAATAATAAAAAAATGGCATTTCTATAATTCGTTAATATTTCTGTTGTTTTAGCTCCAGTTTCAATTACATATGAAGTTGGTTTGGACTGCAAATCTATAGATTGTGATGAAAGGATATCTAAAGGAATAGAGGTCATAGAGAAAGAAAATTATGGTTAGTATTTTTTTTTCATCTATACTTTCCATAGCCGAAGGGTATGATGTGACCCTATTACTAAGACTTCACTTGTCTGTCACCAGGCTGTATATCATTAACAGTGCTAAACAGATAAACGGTTGAAATTTATACAGATGATGACTGTTGCCACTATTACAACAAATATTAAAAACAAAATATAACAAAAATTTAGAGGTGGCTCCCATGCAATGTGATTTTTTACTATTTTTGCTCTATATAAGAATATAGTGTCTAATGTATAGATAATAGTACGAAACCTTACTTGGCTAGTTTTATTTCTGTCACAAGGGAGCATGAGAATTCTCTAATATATTTATAATAAATTCCTATACACTTTCATTTTGATATGGAGAAAGACGGGGCCTTAGAGATAGATAATAGGAGATGAAAGTTTGCATGGGTACCAAATATTCTGCACTAACAGAAATTATTATATTTGGTCAATGTATATAAAATACGAGATGTTAATAAAATTGTGAAAATATTTTTTCAGATCCTGCACTTGGAAATGTAGTTGATAATGAGACTTCACACACTCAACCTCCCATCATCACCACAAATGTTGCGCCTCATTTCGGTAATTTTGATATTTAAGGCTAGTAAACAAACCACAAGTATATGGCTTGCCTGCTGGTAAGCGGCCTTCATAGCCGCTATGCTTATAAAACCAACCCTACCCTACCCTAAGTCGGATAACCATGACAATATGTTACGCAATAATCTGAATAGGGATTGTGCCTTTAGTAAACTTTTCTTATTTAATTGTTTCCTTATTACAAGATGTAAATATTTGTTTTTCTCTATCTTTTCAGCTCTTAATAGAGCAATAAACATGAAGAAAACCCGGCATTTCACAGTAAAAGAAAAAACGCTGCATACAATGATTGTTGCTGCAAAACGTAAAATAAAAAAGTTGCAGAGTAAAGTAAAAAAGCAGTCTGCAGAAATCAAAGCAGCCAAAAAGATGACTTCCAACCCAGCAGTGTTGAATATGATTGAAAATTGTTCAAGCAGTGCAAAAATTATAATGGAAATGCAATGGAGGGAAAATAGAAAAAAAGGAAAAGGGCGTCGTTTTACCATGCAAGAAAAGATTTTATCTTTGTGCATTTTAAAACAAAGCCCAAAGGCTTATAATTTTTTTAGAAAAATATTTATTTTACCTGCTCCGCAAACTCTTGTCAAACTAGTACAAAGTTTGAATTTACGTCCTGGTTTAAATAAGAATATATTTGCACAATTAAAGAAAAAAGCTCAATCGATGAAAGTAGAAGAAAAGTTGTGTGTCTTATTGTTCGATGAAATATCATTGAAAGCACACCTCTCTTTTAACCAGAAAAAAGATAAAGTGACTGGGTTTGTGGATGATGGTTATAAAAGGCAACCAGAAATTGCTGATCACGCACAAGTATTTATGGTGCGGGGTCTATTAAAAAATTACAAACAACCCATATCATACACATTTTCAGCTAGCGCAACAAAAGGCACAACGCTAGCAAACCAAATAAAGGATGTTGTAAAAGAATTACAAAAATGTGGATTGATAGTGGTAGCGTCAGTTTGTGACCAAGGCACAAATAACCGCCAAGCCATTAAAATATTGCTTAATGAAACAAGGGGGGTCTATTTAAGAAAGGGAGAAACTCCAAAAGATAATATTATTTTAATAAATAATCAGGAAATCGTACCATTATATGACCCTCCACATCTTCTCAAAGGTATCCGAAATAACCTTTTAAATAAGAATTTGCATTTTGTAAAAGATGATGTACAAAAAACTGCAAAATGGTCACATTTACAATTATTAAATAAAGAGAATCCAGGCTACAAAGGGATACGCCTAATTCCAAAATTAACAGAAAATCATGTCAACCCAGAGAAGATTAACAAAATGAAAGTGAAATATGCATCGCAGATTTTTAGTCGCACTGTTGCATCCAATATGGGATATCTAGCAGGTAAATAATGTTCTTACTTTTTATTGTGCTATATTTCGGATCGAGAGATAGTAAATTTTTGGTCACCCATCCTTTAACTGACCACTGTGACAGTAGCTTATAACTTCAACGATCGCAGCCAGAGTGCTAACCACTTGCGCCGTCGAGCTCCCCATTATCATTATATTTTTTTTTACATTTAACTTTAACAATTTTTCTTTGGACTTATAAATCTAACATCTATAAATTCAAAGAAAAATTGTACAAGAAAAATTCCAGTCGGTCCAGATTTCACACAAGATTCAAACCCGTACCTTTCGCAATTCTATTAGGACACCATACATAGCCATTAAGATCTCAGTAGCATAATTGGTCAGTGCTTCCGTCCAGATTGCGGAAGGAGTGAGTTCGAATCCAGTCTGAACTAAGTCGTATTTTTAAGTACAAATTTTCTTGATATTATTTATTTCAAAATGTATATTAAACTCCCCATAATATTAATTATACTTAATCCTGCTAACAGTGGAAATATTTTTATTTTATTTCTGTTGTTACATTGCAGATAAGGGTATCCTGCCAGAAGCCTGTAAAGATACAGCTGATTTGTTGCTGTTCATGGATAACATCTTTGATTCCGTGAATGGAAGTTACAAAAAAAATAAATTTGCAAAACCCCTACTCGGCCCTGCAACAGAACATTCTGTTCACAACAAAACATGGGCAGAAGGCAAAAACGTCTTCAAATCCATGAAATTTAAAACTTCGGCAGGTAAAGAAGAATCTGTTCCAACCGTTGCAAACTGGATATGGACACTGGATGGTATCCAAATACTACTGAAAAAATTAAAAAAAGAATATTCAATTTCATCAGTGTGGTTGCGGCACCTTAATCAAGACCCCTTAGAAAACTTCTTTGGGGGTATTCGAAGTCATGGGTGCCGCAACAATAATCCAACGTGCGACCAATTTGAATCGGCTGCCACTACATTACTGGTCAATAATTTGTCGAATGTTCACTCGCAAGGCAAAAATTGTGAGGAAGATTTTTGTAAAGCATTATACTCACTCGTCATCAGCGAAAACCCAGAGCCACCATCTACCAGCACTTTTGATTTTAGCTCTATTATGGAACTAGATTTTTCTCCTATATCAGAAAAGGAAAATGATCCTAGAAAAATAGCGCCATTGCAATATGTAAGTGGTTACTTTATAAAAAAAGCAAAAACTAATATTTTTAAAAATTGCATGCAGTGCAAAATTGATTTGTGTAATGAAGATCAAATTGAATATATAAAATATAGAGAGTATGCTGGTAAAAGATGGCTCTGTACTCCAAATAATGAGTTGACAGAATTGGTATCAAACATGCAGGACATAATAAATTTTATTTTGAAAAATAATTTAGAAAAGACCGATCTTAAAGAAATTATTAAAACATCTATTATAATTCTTTTAGATTTTAATCTATTGAAATGCTTAAATCATAAGGAAGACTTAACAAATTATTTGATAAGCATTGTTAGCCGCTGTTTAATCATGAACTACTGTAAAGATATCAATCGAATTTTGTCTGGGAGGAAATTAGTTGATGACGAGGAAGATAATATGCAAATGAAAGCAAAGAAATACCAAAATAAATGTTTTAAAAGAAAAAAAATATGAATTTATTGTTTAATGTAGTTTTAAGTTAATCAGTGATGTCGATTCTGGCATGATTCTCTAAAGCTTAACTTAAATTTGACAACAGTGCATCCTTTTCATTCTCTATACAGAATAAAAAGGAGAGACTGATGTTAAATTTAGTTTTAAGTTTAGAGAATCACGCCAGAATCGACACCAATCATAGGCTTATTTGTTAATGGCTATCTAGTAATAGCAGCTGGGGCCACTAAAATTTTCCGTAGTTGATATTAATGGTTCAAAAATAACTTATTTTGCTCACCTAATTCTCAATACACTAATGCCAGTGCCGGAACCTTTTAGTGCCCTATGTAAATTTAATATTATGCCAATTTTTGTTAATTGCTACTTAAACTGCACTTGTTATATGGCGCTCTCAAAAACGTCCAATTTAAATCTATAAAAAGCGTTAGATTTAATCAATGCTCATAGATGTCACAGTACAATTTCATGTTAAAAATATCGTGATTATTTTAAAGACAGTTGACGTAATGTAATTTTTAAATGTCTTACGTTATAACTATATTATAATTATATTAAATAACAATATTTGTTGTATAAAAAGACATTCCGCTATTTACTTAAATCCTATTGTATAATATTGGGACACTGTTTTTTTGCTCTTATTATTTTAATTAACACGTCAAACAATTTGAAGTGGAAAAACGCAAACATTAGAAATATTAAGTTTATATAATTTCTTTGAAGTCCTTGTAGTGGAAATGTTAGTGCCGTCTTTAAATAAAAATATGTTTTTAAGTGTTTGTTTTATTTGCGATCTTTTTTCCCCCTCATCAACGCATCATCATAGCAGTGAAAGCACCATGGGTGTATGCGTACGTATATATATATAGGTGCATACATTTACTTCCTACTATCATTGTTAGATGACGCTAGTTGTCAAGTACCAATTTTAACGTCGAAGTTTGCTCTCTATTTCTATATATAACAATGTACTCTATGGTTGAGAGCAAGTTTTAAGTTCGTGTCCATGTTGTCGACAACGAACGCAGAAAACGTCTTTTTGAAGGGTGTTAACCTGGTAAGGTTTTTTAAAGAAAGGTTTTTGAGCAATAGTAAGAGGAGGAGTAGGAAGAGGAGTAGGGGAAGGAATTTGAGGTTTATAGTTGAATTCTGGCGTTAAAGAATTTGAGATAGGTTCTTTGAAGTTTTGGTCTCTATCCAGGAATTTTTCATAATTCTGACAGGTAGATAAAAGGGAATCGATAGAGTTACAGTCCTTAAGTGCCACAAAGACTGAGTAGCAAGGTCTGATGTTTCTAAGAAGGATTTCAAGCTGTTCATTTTCAGTAAGCTTCTTTGTGAGACGTGAGAACATTCCTACCATGATAGAGATGTAGATGGCTATCGGTTCCTCTAAGCCTTGAGTACGACTTCTAATTGCCTCTAAGAGTTTATAGTCGTAATCGAAAAGGCCAAAATCCTTTGTTAGCAATTGCGTAAGTTCTACCCAAGATAAGTTAGGATTCCTACTAATTTGGAATCTGAACCAATGAAGAGCTTTGTCAGTAAAAATTTCATAAGCCTGATTAATAAGAAGGTTTTTATCAAAGTTTCGTGAAATGCAGTATTCATCCAACTTTTGGAGAAAAGATCTAGGGCAGGATTTACCATTAAAAGTGTATTTTTTTAGATCCTTAAAGATATTAGTGTTAATTGGAGGTTGAGGATAAGAAAAGATTAGGGGTTGAGGCTGAGAAGAGGGTTGAGGAACTTCAGGTATATAAGTAGTTGGGGAATCTATAGGTGTGACTATATTTTCCGCTGGGTGAAAGGTAAAAGGCTCAAATTTATTATTTAAGTCGTCAAATTTAGTTTTAAGACAAGTAAAAGTAGTCAAAAGTTCAGGGTTAAGGTCAATGTCTATACGTTCAAATCTGTAATAAATATGGTTAAGGTAAGTTTCAATAAGGCGAGCAAATTTAGAATCGCCGTGTAATAATCTATTAATTTTCCCTTCAAGGTAATTGATGGTAGTATCAAGTTGAGCAAGATCCTCATCAACTGGAAAAGGAGAAGTTAGAATATCCTCTGGCGAAGTTATCGAAGAGAGTCTTTGAATTTGTTTTCTCAACTCTAAGACTGTATTTGCTGGATTCTCTAATCTAATTGTTACCTCATAGATCAGTTCAGCTTTGTTGAGGTGTTCAAATTTAATTAATCTAGGCATTGTTAAGAATAAAGATAAGTTAATAAAGTTCAAATTAAATACCTTGTTTCCTTCTAAAAAAAATAAAATTAGAGTGAGTAAAAATGAAGTTCAGTGAGAGCTAGGAAAAAAAAAATAGAAAGTTAAGTAGTAAAAAATAATTAAAAATTATAAGTAAATTAAGGAATAAGATGACTAATATTTACAATTAAATAGAGTATAAAGGTATTTAGATAAATAAAGCAAGTTAAGAATATTTACAATATATATATAAATATATATATATATTATGATAAAGGGGATTTTTTTTTTATTTTCAAATAAGATGCCAAAGGGGATGAATGGGATAGGGACACTAGAAGAAGTGTTGTTTTAGAATTTAGAGGGGAGGCTGGAGGGACAAATGAAGATAAAGGTAAGGAAGAGGGAAAAACTAAAGAGAAGACCTGAAGACTAAACTAAAGAGTTGGGCGCCAATTTTGTTGTATAGCAACAAAATAAAACTAGATAGGAAGGAAGAAAAAAAAAATCAAAAGAACAGTATAGGAATATATATTTACAAGATAAAGTACTATTTACAGATTATTAAAAAAAAATATGGAATATGTGTGTAGTGTGAGTTGTGAAGTGGGCGTGGGTCGTCGGCGATCTTCAGGGGCGGCTTGAACGGTAGGGCGTGGGTCGTCGGCGATCTTCAGGGGCGGCTTGAACGGTAGGTCGTGCTACAGGTAGATGGACGGCGCTCCTTGGAGGCAGAAGCGCTCCTGTGCAGCCGTCTTAGATCTTGGCCTCCCCTGGTGGTTGCTGGCGGCGCTGCTGGTAGTTTGGCCGGCGTATATCGGCCAGAGGCGGGCGTTGAAGAAACGGCAGGAGTCGGTAGAAGGCGGGCTGAAGCAGCTGGAGGCTGGCCGAAGAAGCTGGAGACCAGGCGCAGTCCCACCGATGAGGTTGCGAGAACGTGTATAGTAGTATAGTATTGAAGTTAGGAAGTTATTTAAAGAGCCAATAGGTGCTAAAAGCTTTGAGGTCTTTCTTGAGTCCCGGGGCAGTCGGCCCCGGGACAAGGCCTTTTATTAATTTAGAGCTCGGTAGCGAGCTTTCAAAAGTTGAGTAGGCAACTTTTGCCGTAGAATTGAATAAATGATCAGGGAGGCTCGGCCTTTTATAGGTCCGGAACCATTTGAATTTAGACACGGTTCGAATCGAGCCAAAAAGAATCAAAGTAAGTGGTCTGTGGAGGTTGAATAGTCATAGACGTAGTTGGAGAGAGTATCCGTGTCATGGGTAGCCATGGCAACGGATAAAAAACATTAGGTTGTCATAAAATGTCAATAAAATAAATAAATTAAATATAGATAAAATCAAAGCATAATAAGTGAAAACAAGTAAATAACAGAATAAAGAGAAATGCCGGTAAGTGTCCAGCACTCTGGAATAGTGATTTTCAGTACAGAAGAAATTATTATACGTATTTACAAAGTGATGAATAGTGTGTGATATTTTTGAAATTATGTGTTTCCAGGAATAAATGATAAAATATATGATGATGCCTGATGAATATCGATGATGTTATATGATAAAATGTGCGAAATGGAACCTATGATAATTGAAACCATGAGTCGAAACCATATTAAGGTACGTTACAACTTCAATAAATCAATGTACATCGAAAATACGATTTCATTATGTCTTTTTAGAGTAAAAAAAGGGTATTTAAAAGCGCGTAGGCGAAGAGGGCTAAACTGTACTTCCAGGGCACAAGTGGATACTTCACACTAGGTTATATATATAGTGAAAGATTTAGGTTCAAAGCCAGAAAAATCAATGGGAATTTGAGAGTAAGATTTCTGCACGAGCGCAAATCACGTTGATTGAAAGTGCCCAGAAATTGGAATCTAGATTTAAGTTACTTTGGAGCACGTGGATCGTATAAGAGGTTGAAGAGCATGTAAAGTAATATTAGGTTTTTTCGTCCATTGATAGGCAACCATGTAAGTAGTTAAGTAGTTTTCTAAAGGGCGAGATGTGATCCTATTTACGTAACAACCCGAAAACAAAGCGAATGCCGCTATTGAGCAAACATAGTCGAGAAAAGTGAGATTAAGAGACTGGAAGAGTGTGATTTTGATACTGGAAGGATGAAAGTGCTTTAGACGATAAAGTGATCGAAGTGTGTTGATCACCTTGCGACTCACTTCTTCAACCTAAAATTCCCAGCTGAGAGTACAATCGACAAGTAAACCTAGATTAATAACGCTAGGAAGATACTGGATAACATAACCATTGTACTTTACTGGACTCAAGTTACTCAGATCAAGCGGAGCCATTTGACGAGAACTACCTTAAATAATAGCCTGGCATTTCGATGGGTTTACAATAATACCATAAGAATTGGACCATTCTTTTTAGGTCTTGATTAATGCGTGTGATAGTAGTGTCTAAGTTATACTTATAGGCTTCAATGTAGAGTTGAAGAGCGTCAGTATACAGAGGTTAGAGGATTGAATTAGAGTAGCAAGGAAATTAATAAAAAGTGAAAAAAGAAGAGGAGAAAGAATATCACCCTGTGAAACACCAGCAGTAATAATGGCCCAGCTCGAAATAGTTTAATCAATTCGAACGGCCTGCTGGCGTCTACGAAGATAAGAAGAGAACCAGGTCCTCACCAAATATAAGACTCCCATGTGAGTAAGGATTGAAAGAAAAATGTCGAAGGAGAAAAATCTATCAGGACCATACTGTCAACTACAATTTCTCCATGCCGCTACGAAAGTCATCCAGGTCATTAAAAATAGCAGTGGTTGTACTGTGGCCAGGTCAAAACCTAGATTGTAGAGGACTACGCATCTTATAGCGAAAGAGTTGGTTATGTACAGCAGTTTCGCGAACACATTTACACGAAGGTATTTTTTGGAATGGGGATAGTAAGAGAATGGCGCCAGATAGAAAGGAGGTACTTGAAGAAAGAGAAAAAATTAAAACAAAAGTTAGGATTTAAGGTATACACTCAATTATAAACGTAATCATAGTCCTCGTAATGTGATTATAACCCACTGCTTTGGATTTTATGGAGAGCACGATCTTACGAACCTCCTCTTCACTCAAAGGACGAAAGCAGAAAGAATCGTTTGTAGAATGTGCCATGGAAATAATAGCAGAAACTGAAGAAAGGGTAACTGAAGTCAAGAGAGACAGACGAGAAATGCGTGTTACGTTGATCAGGTCTAATAGAAGAGATATGTTTAGGAGAGGTTTTACCAAAACCGAGCGATCGTAGAAAATTCCATGTATTGGCAGGAATTGAATTCAAAATGTTCTGATGAATGTATTGGTGATTAGCAGCTCTCACCATCTGTTTACAGCGATTGTACATACGGAAACCCTTATTACGCTTCCGCACTGAGATGCGAACAACAGCAGTGATCCATGGGTTGGTGGGCTTTTCAATTTAATGCAATTTAGGTGCATGTCAGTCAAGTCGTGATGATTTGTGATGGTATAATTAAAATAAGAGACCATGATATCAATGGTAGCTGCCTCGCAAAGGGGTTTCCAATTTATACTGAACGCGACCTTTTTCTCCACATCCAGTCGTACAAATTTTCCCATTCGGATGCT